AGTCTGCTCCATTGTTGGCTTCCCGGTACGCATGTTGAATCCAAACATCCCATTCTCTAGATATATATTATCTTTCCTTGGTGATTAAGGCAGGGTTTGCATCTGCTTTCACATAATCTTTTGAGATTAGTGCAACAACCAATGCAGAATCCGTCTTTCCCATTGACCATGCCACCTCTAGACCAGTAACTACTGCCCACAGTTCTGCTTTGAAAGAAGTGCGCAAGCCAGCGTTGATCGCCAAACCCTTAAGTCAAGAGCCGAGGCTATCTCTAATCAGACCTCCTGCTCCTGCCACACCCGGATTACCCTGACGACACCCATCCACGTTTAACTTCATCCACTCTATAGAAGGATATTACTCCCAGCCCACCAGTTTAACTTCCTTAGGTTTGTATACGTGAACTACAATCAGTGAGTCAATTGTCCTCTGTGAGGAACCAGTCAAGCTATGGATATGCTTTATATACGGTGTTCACAGCTAGAAAATAAAATAAATTATATTTTAAAATTTTATCCAATAATGTTAGTTTTTGGGTAGAATTAATTATTTTACTGAATTCCCCAAGCATCCCCTGATTACGTCGTTTCCAGATGTTCCATGAAGCACGCCCACATAACAATGCCCATGCATGACCATTCCTATCAATCTCACTGTCAGCTAGGTTATTAATCAACCACGGTATCAGACCTGAGTCAAGAAACTCCTGTTCACGTTCCCAGGCAAAGCCCTCCTAACCTCCTTAGCTAGGAGGCGGTCACTCTTAATTTTGGGTAGGGGATTCGTCTACTCTTTTGGGTATTGGGCTGGAAGTTGGATATCTAGCTAAAATCCAAGAATTAGCGGATATATATTAATTTTGAGCAGCTTCTAATTATTACCAGAGATTCTTACATTGACTAGACGTTAGATACACTAGCGAGAGTGCTTGCCGTATTCCCTGTCAAAATACCTCCCTCGCTAATGCAAATGTCCCTTTAGAACCCCAGTCGTGAGATTGATGGTTCAGGTTTGGCAAAGGGTCACGATGAAGAAAAGGATAGATGAGGCCACTATGATGCATAACAAAATTATAAATTACAGTCCAAATGACATTTGTGCCCTGAGGAGCCACGGCAGCTATAAAGCCACACCTCAAATGCATTACGTGAAACGGAAGAAGAATCTGAGCATTTTGTCTTTGGATGCACAAACTAATTAAAATGCACGGCAGCTAGATATCGCGCCGACGTTTTGGAATCTCTCTCTTTATTCTTTATGGATCGCTATCTACCACTGCCTCCACCGTTACAAATGATCAGTTCACCACCCGGGCATCAATCCTCTCTCTCTCTGCCCCTGTGTTTTCCTTTGCTTTATTCACATAGCTAGATCCTGTGAAAGGTTGCATGGTTTTAGAGTCCAATTTAGCATAATAGCACCACTATCATTCTCGATAAAGGAAGAAAAGAACAAACAAAAGAAACATAACTCTAATAAAGAATGAATGGAACCCATGTGGTATATGGCAGGCTATGTAAGTAGTACAGTATACGAGAATCAAAATGTGGGTACTACTTGCTTGACGGATCAAGTTGCTTTTTTCTTTTCTCTTACATGTAGGAGCGTCTAGCTAGCTACCGTTTTGCAATCCTATTGGTGAAAAAGAAGAGTTCGGAATCTCTTTTATGCAAATCAAATGCTCCTCCTTCATGCATCATTCATTCACAAAGTTGATAAGGGTTAATTTTCAAGTGAAGCTACCACATATATACGTGTGTGTGTTTTATAATACGTTATGATGAATACTGTGGAGTACGCCTAGTAAGAATCTTTCGGCAAGAGACTCTTGAAGCCCTTATGGCTACATCGCTCTTGCTAGCTCAGTGTAATTGGCTCACACACTTTAATTCAACTTTTATTCACTTTCGTGGAGTACGCCTAGTAAGAATCTTTCTGCAAGAGACTCTTGAAGCCCTTATGGCTTCATCACTCTTGCTAGCTCAGTGTAATTGGCTTACACACTTTAATTCAACTTTTATTCACTTTTGAGGCGTAAAAACCACAAAGACCCATCTCTAGACAAATGAATGAAAGGAACTCGTAACAAAGGTGATAGCGACTTACGTTTCGATTGATAAATATATGTTTTCTATTCCACTTTGGTTGTTCTGGTCAATTAGCTAGCTAGTATACATGCCATGATGTTTTTACCAATCATGTTTCGATTCTGTCATGATGTCCAAATTAAGAAGTAGATTTTAGCCTTGATAATATCACTCAAACGCTGAGCCAGGAGTATATATGCATGCAAAACCCTTGCTGATCAATAAATATATTTTGATCACCCTTCTCCATCAATGGGGGAGAGCTAGTAATGATTAGAACCATATCGCGAGAGAAAAAGGCGAGGGACTGAGAGAGACAGCAGTCAAAGATCTGAGGCTTGCAGTCATTAAAGTTGCAAGGATGTCTTTACTCCCATGAAAATGATATTTTAAGGAAAGGAAACCAAAGGGGAGGGAGGGGGGTAAGTAACAGTAAAGGAAAAGTAGCTTGGATGGCCGGAGAAGAAAGAGAAAGGGGAAAATAACAAAAAAGAAAAAGCGAGAGTGGGCTGCGACCGAGTGTCAGGTAGATCTGTCCAGATGATGATTGTAGGCCCCCTTCAAGCCATCAACTGTTGAACGATAAAAGTGTTCCTTTCTATCTGGGAATAAAAGAAGGCCAGAGAACTTTCACATGGACCCATCGCTTGGCCCATCAATCTCCTAGATTGTTTACGTTAAATTGAAGGCACGCACACATATTTTGGACCCATAAAAGTAAATAAAAAAGCACGCCCATTGAGTCGTGTTTGCTCCACCCTGAAGATCCAAACCATTGTTATTCACCATGGCGCTTGAAGGAAAGCACGATTAATCATTTATTTTTATTTTTTTTTTACTATCTGTGTGAATTCACTCTTTATTTAACGCCTATTTGCTTGAACCCCGTTGTTTTTTATTGTTTTAATTTATTTATATAAAAAATAAATTTTAAAAATAAAATAAATTTATTTAAAAATATTTTTAAAAATAACTATTATTATAATATGAAGTATTGTTATATATATATATATGTGAGAATGTAGTTGTTGTTGTTTTTTAAAATACTTTTTATCTAAAAAATTATTAAAAAATATTTTTTTATTTTAAAAAAATTATTTTTAAAATTAGTATAAAACTTCAGCTAATCACGCCCAAACATCTAACAATCATACCTCATGCATATTCCTCGGAGTGCACTAATCTTGTTTCCATTTTTTCTTGGACTGCAATGAGTCTAAATACTAACCACGTGATGTAATTAATTTATTCAAGAATTATTAAAAATTCATTTTCCTTGTTGTGAGATTTTACAGTAATTTAGGGCAGCTTTCCACTAATTTTCAATTTAGTCACTATAATCTCTCTAATTTCATTTAATTCGTGTATTTTGTTTCTAGCAGATCACATACACCCATAGCTGGAGTTTTTTAAACATTTTCTTAATGGGCAATGTGTTAAAAGGATTCTTACAATCAGATCCTCCACACGGTTGCTTTTAATAACATAACGGTTCATTGTATGTGTATTTTATAGAATATTCATTACTTCTCGGGACAGGTCACTCTATTTTTTTATTTTTTTGTTTATTTTTTTAATATTTTTTAATAATTTTAATATACGGTGTGTCAAAAATAATTTTTTTAAATAATATACTTGTGTCAAAATTAATTTTTTTAAATAAAAAATATCGGTGTGTCAAAAATAATTTTTTTAAATAAAAAATATTATTTTAATACATTAAAAAAAACATTCTCCATCCAAACCTTAATTTACGCTAAATATATTGTCTCATGATTTCTAGCTAAACCTCCCAGGAGATTGAGAATTAACACTAGAGAAATCATTTTCCAATTAGAAAAAGTGAAAGAAATCAACAGCCGACGAAACTCACCGAAAACCACAGCACCTCACCGCAGCAGAGAACATGCGTTGTTAATCACGTTGCTTTCTGTAAATGGCACATGATCACCAGCCAATTCATGATCCAGATCCTCCAACCGCAAGCTTATTGCCAGGCCTTTCTTTTATCCGGCTAAGTCACCCTCGCATGATAAGAGTACAAGGGGCGGGATTACAAAATACACCCGCTAGTATTAACATACTATACGGATCAATTGTCATACGCATGATACAACAATACTCCTATTTTATTTACCATGTTATAAAATTATTTTTTATGGTGTTTTTTGATATATTAGTATTAAAAATAAAATTTTGAAAAATAATTTTAAAATACAAAAGTATCTAGAAGAAGAAGGGGAGACCTGGTATTGCGTGTTAATGGGTGTGGGCGGTATAGTCGGCCCACACAGCCTTTCGAGGGATCCTTTTGATTTTTGCTAGTTGGTGGGCACACAAAAGCAGGGAAGCTTCTTATCCTCCCCTGCTGGTTTTCATACAAAATCTTACACTTGGAATCTTCAGAAGCCGAAGGACTTGTCGTAGCGTAGCATACCCAAAATCCCAAATTTATTAATCAATTCAAATACCAAATCTAGACAATCTCTTATACAATAACATTCCTCCTCGATGGGAGTTTGTTTCTGTGGTTTAATTTATTTTTAAATTGTTTTTTATTTTATTTAAGGAATTAGTATTTTTTAGGTGTTTTTTATGATTTTAGAATGTTAATGTTAAGATCTAAAAAAAATAATTAAATATATTTTTTTATTGGAAAACAATCTTGAAAATACTTATATTATCAAGCACATATTAAATGAAGTGAAAAATATTCAAGATAAGTGTACGAAGGTAGGGAAAGATTAAAATAAAATTCAAAGTGTATGAAGGAAGGGACAAAAATTAATTAAATATGTTTTTGGTTTCTTGAGTGAATGGCAACAGCGTAATACATAGAGAGTTTGAAGGGCTAGTTAATCTGAACATATCTGTCGTCACAGAACAGTAGCCTATATAGTTCAGTGTCGTCCAGGCCGGCTTAACAGCGTGTTGCGCTCCATCTAGCTAGTTCTCAATTGGGCCACTATCCCCCCTCCCTCTCTCCAATCCTCCTGCACATTATCTCTTCATCTCAGCGATGGCACCCATGAGCCTCCCTCCTGGATTTAGGTTCCATCCAACCGATGAAGAGCTTGTTGCGTACTATCTTGATCGGAAAATCAACGGCCACACAATTGAGCTTGAAATTATCCCAGAGGTTGATCTCTATAAATGCGAGCCGTGGGACTTGCCAGGTACATATATCTAATTAATTTCCATTCATCAGTAATATATCAATGTTCTTATATATGCTCTTAGTATTCTTTCCGACTCTTTTTTACTATTTGTGGTGTGGGTGGAATGTGATAATTCGCTTAACAGACAAGTCATTTTTACCAAGCAAAGATATGGAGTGGTATTTTTATAGCCCCAGGGATAAGAAGTACCCTAATGGGTCAAGAACTAACAGGGCGACAAGAGCTGGTTACTGGAAAGCCACAGGGAAAGATAGAGCAGTGCAGTCTCAGAAGCGGCCAGCTGGCATGAAGAAGACATTGGTGTACTATAGAGGTAGAGCTCCTCATGGAATCAGAACCAACTGGGTAATGCATGAGTATCGCATGATCGACTCATTTTGTGGCAATGCATCATCAATTTTAAAGGTATTGTACTTTCACTACTGGCTTAGTGTACAATTTTTATTTGATCGTGAATCTGTAGTCGTTTAATCAAGCAGGGGCACACATATAGCCTACTGCATAGTTTCAAAATTATATAGAAGTGAATGAATTAAGGTCATTGATTCACCATGATGAAGTTGGATCTGCCCCATTTCGTGGTTCAGTGGCATTCATATTTAGACTGGTATGAAGAGACTTTTAGAGCATTAGGGTTTACAAAAAGTCAACTAGAATGTGTTTGATTGCCAGTTTTGCGTAGAAGACATACGCTGATGAACTTTGCAATAGGATCACGCGCATGTATGATAGCAATTGGCCTCACAAGGAAACGCTGGTAACAATGACAGGATTAAACTGAGAGGGTTTTCGGGGTATGTTTTGTTTGTATATCTTTTAGATGCAAGGAGTTGATCGGTACTGGTCCATGCAATGACATTCATTGATATTGATTTTAGTAATTCATGCAGCGTCTATCACTTCAAATTAAATGATATAGGAACACGTTCAGATGCATTTGATTGGAGAATACAGGGAGATGTGACAGTTCATATTTAGCCAGGACTTTATGCGGTCAAGTGAGGAAAACCGTCATTGATTATGCTTCTTTATGACAGAAGCAACGCATATGTCGATCAGATCTTATCGAATTTAATCATTGCACTTGATTTTATACACCATTATCTTTTTTTAGATCTTCCCTTCCCTTACACTACTAAATGTACACTACTAAATGTTCTCTCTTTAATAAAATCTTCCCTTCCCTTACACTACTAAATGTTCTCTCTTTAATAAAGAATACCTTATCATCAACATGATGATGAAAGAGTCTTTGTTTCAAAACTTTATGTGCACTTACACTATCCCTGTTTTGTTTCTTGTTTCTTTTTTTGCTCTTTGTGATCTTGCTTTTTTAGATCTTTGTACACCTCTTTAACAACTTTGATTACTTTTTTCACTGCAGGATTCCTATGCATTATGCCGTGTTTTCAGGAAAACAATACAAACTCCCAAAACAAAAGAAGAGAAGAATGTTGGTGATGAAGTGAGGGATGCAGCGTGGGTCTCAGAAGAACAATTATTGGGGGATAACAAATGCCGTATTGAAATTTCTAAAGGGAGAGAAGCTGAAGGTGAAAATTTCAACAATGACTATTGTAAATTCCCATCTGAAACATCTTCCTCAGATGTCACCCAAGGGACTCCAATTGAAACTGCAACAGCCGATGATTTGCAAGCTCCAATTGCCTCGGATGAAGCCAATAGCTCAGCTAACATTTACTCAGTGGGCGTGGATTTCTCGTCGAATCTAATTCAGGTACATTAACAAATTTCTTTCATAAATGAATTTAATTTCTTTATGTTGATAGACTTTCTATGGTTTCATTTCCTTAGAACTAGTAGATGTCGGTGCAATAATTAGTAATCTGATAATTGCATATAGATGCATAAAAAGATTATTTCACTGCTGGTATGGGCCATACCAATAATTAACTCATCTTTTCTGATCATGATATGATTATCTCTTTTGCCAATACTGCATTTCTGCTTTTATTAAAGCTTCATGCTCACACCAGGGAAAATAGCATGTGGTTGTGTCTCGCACACAATGAAAGTACAATACTCGGGCCGCTATGTGTTGGAAATGGCCCACAAAACAAGCCCTTTGAGTTTTTTCTTTCTTTTGATCCGAAGTTAAAGCAGCAAAAGTTGGAAGCTATGAACTCCATATCTTATCCTAAAGCTTCCTTCTAAAAATCCCTCGAACACCGACTCCAAGTGGCTTTTTCACCATCTTCAACATCTTCTTTTGACTGACTCAAACATAATTCAAAGTTCAAACATCTTTCTTCATGATTTTTCTCTCTGGGTCTACTATATATAAGTGACACCTCAAACATCGCTATTTCCGATGCATATGTTTCCCCCACTAGAGTTAATTTTCCAATTCAAAAGATTTTGCTAGGTTGACTGTTTTATTCAACAACGATGCTCAAAATGATTGGATTTTCCTACTGCCCGCCGAATTCCTTTTTTTCGTTTCCAACGATGTTATTAATCACACAACATACTGTGGATGCAGGATATGCAGATGCCAGTCTACTCAAGCTTGCTCTATCAATTTCCGTACCCTTCTTTAGAACTAGAAGACTTCCCCCAGATGAACATCGCCGAGTGTGTGAAGACATCAAAGCCTGAAATTAGCGACGAATACATGATGTACAAGGATTGCATGGACGGAACATTAGAACAACTATGTTCCTCTGAAGACAACTCCAATATTGTACTCCCCCATGCAAGACTAATTTAGGGCCGCTAACTACTGAGTTACCACACGAAGTAACAATTATTTGATATGTTACTTACAGTTGTTGTATTTCCACCAAAATTCATATTACAGGCGTAGGATATATTGTGATGGGCTACATAACATGAAAAAAATATATATGAAAAGAAAAGTGAGGATTATTTTGCGTTATGATAAGGTTACACACATCATTCATTATACAATGACAGGTCAAAGCACCCCATCATTTGCTCTCTGTTATTTTCTTCCCGTTTGTTTTTTTATACGATTGTTCATACTTCCCGATCAAATTGAAAATAAATCGGATGAACATGTGGTGATGGTGTGCCATCGAGAAATTAATTCGTGATCGGATTTCTTTGTGGAAATAAATCAATCGTTTCTGCCAAGGTATGTAATTAAATGAACAAAATAATCTTTCTGGAATAATTTTTTAGTTTGAGAATAGTACCCCTTCCGTCTCTTTCTTTTTCGTTCTTCGGTCTTCGCTTTTCTTTTTCTTTTTTTTCCATTTTTTTTAATGGAATACCATATTTGCAAAACTATATTTACAAGATACTTAATTTTAGATTTCCCTGCAGGTTAAATATTTTTTAAATAAAAAAAATATATGTATAGATTTTTTTAACATGTTTTTGTATTTTTTTTAAAAAGCATACTTATATGTAATTAAATAAATTAAGAATTATGTGTGTTAATAAAAATAATAATAAATAAAAATAATAATAAAATAAATTAAAAAAATAAATATAAATCAAGATATTTAAAATTGTAATACGTGATATTTACCCCGATTAATGTGTTTTTAAAATTTATTTATTATAATAACTTTTTTATTAGAAAATATGCTAATAATATTTAGATAAATATTTTCTATTATTTTTTTTTAAAATTGACTTTACTCGCAGCAGAACAACAAACTAATAATATCACTGTGAAAAGAAAATTCAAGTGCTTGGAGATGCAACGGGAAAAGGAAATCTGTGGGTGATAGATATATCAAAATGGGAAAAAGAAAAGAGTTTGGAGACCCCAGAGATTCCCTTGAAGCCCATTGGATGAACATAAGCCGACACCAGATGTCTTGCAGATAATTGACTGATATATATGATCCCCAATGGTTAAACTAGCGTTTGTGCTTGTAATTCAATTAGCATAAAAAAAAAAAAAAGGCGGGAATAAAAACTCTTCAATGCGAGGCAAAGGCAACAATGAGTAAGCATGCGAGTAGACAATTTTAGAAGACTTGTGCACGGTGGCGACGAATGGGTAATAAAACAATATCCGTTATTTACAGTGCTCCTTTTCATCCTGAATGAATATCAAAAGTTTTAATAAAATTTTATGTTTGAAATTTATTTCTAGCATTAAGAATTGAATTATAAGTGAAATTTAATCTCTTAAACTATTATAGAAATAAATTAAAAGTCAATTTCTCTTTATATAATTTCAAAGTAGGGAAATTTAATGTTAAAATTAAGTTTTTTAAAATACCCATCTAACTTTTTTGTTTTTTTTTAAAAACATTTGAAGAAATAAGATATAGGTAACATAGAAAATAAAATGAATTAAAATTTATTTTCTTGAGTACATGGATTTAATTTATTTATAAATTAAATTCAAATAAAACACTATAATTAAATTTAATATCAGTAAAAAAACTGATCTCAAACAACCTAAAAGTTTAGCCATGTTTAATTGAAATGAATATTTAACATACATGCAGGGGTTCAATTGTTAGAAATGCCGATATATACAAGGACTGAAAACTATAAAAGAACATGAATTGAAAAACTTCCAAATGAGAGCGTACCTGTAAGAAAAATAAAATACATTGTAAATTTTAGCTGTAAAAGGTTCATTTTCCAAATGAGTTGCCAATCCAAACCCACCTAAACCTTGTAAATTTGGATATCAACGAACATAATGACCCCACACACCAGAGAGAGAGAGAGACCCAAGCAATGCATCTCAAGCTCTCGCTTTCAGAGCAGATGCGCGAGAAGCTCATACTTGGAAGGTTTATAGCTTGTCTGATAAGAGAGAGAGAGAGAGAGAGTTTTATCGTATACAAAATGTTTCGAGATTACCACATGACAGCAGGAAGAAAAGTGAAAGGTCTCTGATTCGGATTCTAGCTCTATAAAAGTAACATCAAGAAAATGTACATAAGCAGATGAAGAGCCGAATGGACTGGCTTATCCAGGTCAGTAGAGCAAGACTTTTGCATCGACGGGAACAGAGGCTGCAGGTGGAGTCTCTCGACCATGCCGACAGCTTCAGTCTTCAACCAACGGGAAGCAGAGGCGAGAGTTTTATGGGCTGGACCATATAAACGAAAAAATGGGCCTGCCGACAGTGGTAGTTTTGTGGGCCTAGTTGGTAGCTGGTGCAATAACTGTCCTGCACGGCCTGGATGGTTAAAATCCATAAATTAGGGTGGTCGCCAGTGGAGTGAGCAGAAGCAAATTAATTAGCTGTCCAGTGAATAGACTTCAAACAATTATTTTTTTTTTACGAAAATAAAGTCTAAAAAGGCACCTAATGATTACGGTACGGTTTCAAAATGCATTTTAAATGGTGTTTTTTTTTAAAAAATTATTTTTTAAAATTATTTTTAGATTTTAATATTAAAAATAAATTTTTTAAAAATATTATTCGGACAAAATGCATTTTAAATGGTGTTTTTTTTAAAAAAAATTATTTTTAGATTATTTTTAGATTTTTAAAAATATTTTTTTTTTAAATATTATTCTCATACATTTTTAAATAAATAATATTTTTTTCAAATAATTACTATTACACACCTAAACATCCATATAAATTTAATGGCCATTATCTATGGGATTCATCTTCATCTTCATCATTCAATTTTCTTTTTCTTCACAGTACCATGCGAGTTTTTGTTATAGTGAAGAAAAGCATCATACTTTACATATGCAAAATAAATGTGGGAGTAATATTGCTCAAGATATCCCTTTTCATTTAAATTTAATCACAATAAAAATTATATTTACTGGATGTCTTATAACCATATTTACATTGATGATAATGTAACTTTTACAAAAAAGAAAAGAAAAAGAATTAAATAGAAGTTGAACTCGTATAAAATAAGAGGTCTATCACATAATTTTACATAGTAAAGGGATGTCAATTCAAATAAAAAAATTAAAAAATTTGCAGCACATTTAATTTTTTTCGCCATAGGCCAAAACTATGCATTTACATATGGCATCGATACAAAAGATTGCCATAAAATTTTTTACATATATCCTTACATATGAACTCAATTTCAATGTGGAAAATTTAATGGCGCCGGTCAAAAGATTTTTATATATATATAAAATAAGAATAGGCATCTAATTTCAAAGCAATATGGAATTAAAGTTTTCTAACAAGAGCAAAGCTCCCGGAACGGTACCGGAAAACATGGGTTGGGAGAAATTAATCAAGAAAAGTAATCAGTTTTCTAACATTGCAGGCCTCAGCATCCAATGGGTACTTTCAAATTTAAACAATTAATGGTCTTAATTGATATCACTAATATTATTTCACGCTCAAAAGAAGTTGGTAGCGACAAATTGAAGCATTTTTTTTCTTCAAATATATATTTTGGGATGCCGAAACTAAGCAAAACCTACCGGCAATGTAGCCCTTGTTACATACACGCACGTGGAGGCCTAAAAGTTCCATGCAAGATCATCCATGGAGCTAAGATCACGACACATTGAACCAGGCAATAATATTGTGGAGTCGACAAACTCAAGATCGTAACTAGTAGTGTCAAATGAAGCATCCATATTGTCGTGAACACCTTTAGTATTATCCATGATTTGTGTGTCACAAATCTTGTTTGGCTGGTTTTCTTGATCCTGTGATTGCATGACTTCGAATATTTTTGCTGCATCAAAGGGCTCACCATTGATATTAGTTCTCCAAAAGCAATTCTCATCCAAGAGACCGAACCCAGTTGGGTTCGCTGAAGACGAAGATGAAGAGGAAATGATTGTGTTCTCAATGGATGATAAACAAGGAAAAATGGAAGAATCCTGGGAGTTTTGAGTATTTTCATTCCAAATGACACTAGGGTTTTGATAACTAGAGGTGGGCAACGGCAATCTGGTTGTGGTCTGTAGCAATGGTGGTTGAGTACTGCTATTAGAAGGATAAGGGGAAGGTAGTGTTAGAATAGGAGGGTTCATCTCCATGGAATAATCTTTCATCTTTGAATCCAGGGTGATAATTGAAAAGGGTTGTTGGTTAGATTGTGATATATTGCATGCAATCTTATTAGCTGCTCTCTGATGAGAGGGGATCAAGTTGTGAGTTTTTGGGTCCAAGCCTTGTGCCATGAGTTTTTTCTTTATGCATGAATTCCAGAAATTCTTCACCTCATTGTCTGTCCTTCCCGGAAGATGTTTTGCTATCTGAGCCCATCTGTTGCAAGTATATATATACATATAAATTAAGTACTTGTAGTGAAATTGCAGTGAAAGTGATAAGCAATTCTACTCTATTCATGTCATCTAGTGATCTATTGTCCCCATGGTTAATTAGAAACGTGTTTTGATTTTGTTTTGTTGAATTTTCTATTCACAGTTTTATTGAGACTCGAAATATCCTCACCTGTTGCCTAAAATTCTATGGACATCTATGATGATCTGCTCTTCTTCCGCAGAAAAGGAACCCCTCTTGAGCTCCGGTCTCAAGTAGTTTATCCATCTCAAACGGCAACTCTTACCGCACCTTTTTAAACCTGCAAGTACAAAGCAATAGCGCATATCAAAAATAGATCAGATAGCTTGATTTTTATTTCAAATGCATGCAAAAAAGGGTATCAGCACACACACCAGCAAATTTAGGGACAGAACTCCAGCTTCCATGACCGTGGCTGGTGATATATTTGACAAGCTTCTCATCTTCTTCGGGAGACCACAACCCTCTCTTAACTTTCTGTTTGTTGCAGCACCTGTGGCCCATCTCAATCCTCCAGTACTCCCTTCTTCAGTCGATCCACTATACTTCCTGCAGCCTAGGTAGCTCAGCATAAAACGTTGAGGAGTTAATTTAATTACTCCTCTCACCTGGAAAGTCTCAATTTATATCCTTGTCTGGATACTAGCTAGTATATACAAGAGCACTGGACTTGTTTACTTAGGCACGATATGTACCCAAAGGAATAATGGTGAAAGGAAAGAAAACACGGTGACTGACAAGTGCTTGATTTTCCAAGAAATACAGGCCAGGTGTCAAATCATGCAACGGGATATAGTGATTTTGAGAGCAGGCGAGATTTATTGGCTTGATTGGGAGATTGATCAAGTGGAGCATATGTTTGTATTGTGTTTTCGATTTGCTCGTAGTTATACTATTTTGTTAATATATATAATATTGATTTGCATTGCTAAAATCCCAGCTCTAACCACGCAGGTCCCACTTGAAAAGAGAGAGAGGAACAGAAGGTTGATTGTTTCTGTCAAACTGAGTAGTATTTATATATGATTACTTCCAAGCATTTATCTAATTAGAATAGTATCAGGCAAAACAGGCAGGAGGTGTCCTTGATTGCTCAGTTTAATTACGTTTCTATGATGCTGATTCTCATAGTCCATTTATTCATAATTATGCCCTACATCTCTATATATATGACTTTATCACACAACATATATATATATACATGAAGAAGAAGAAGAAGAAGAAGAAGAAGAAGAAGAAGAATTCAACGAACCCTACAAGTTATAAAAGCAAACATATCGGAAATGTGCTGGAATTCAAACTTGAGGTGCACTCATGACCACTACGTCTAATTGAGTGCATTGGTGTCCTTCTCTTCGGTCATTGCTCTTCCATCATTTCGTAACAGTTGAGTGATCCCGAAAATGAACTTGACATGTTATTTCAAGAAGAAGATAGCTTTTCTTATAATTTGCTTTGCATGAATATTAGATGTTAAAAATCAATCAAACACTCCATTCAAATACAATATCTTTTCATTCGAAAATCTAGAAAACAGTTTTTTAAACCTGTACCGAGTTTGAAAAATAAATTTTAGAGGCCTTTCATAGTTTTTCAAATAAAAAAATTAAAATTATAAATAATACAGTACTATAAACATGCATTTTTTTAGTAATGTAAAACATTATTTTTTTAAAAATAATATTTAATTAGTGTAATAATTTTTTTAATTATAAATCTAATAATGTAGAAATATTTCATTTTTTTTAGTTAACAAGTCTAAATTTTTCTTGATCTTTTTTAATTTTAATTTTAATTTTAATAAAATTTATATTTTTATAATTAGATTATCATAAATATAAAATATTAAGATGACTATATATTATATATAAATTATGATTTTTTTTATATAAAAACAGCTATAATCTTGATATTGTTTTGTGCAACAATTAATTAATTCTTACCGTTCTTAATAAATCAGTATTTCTATCAACACCATGAAAATAAATTTAAAGAAAAATGAATATATACTTGGCCCGTTTGTGGACGAATCTAAAAATGTGCTCTTCATAATTCGGGCCTAGCTATCTTTCAAGAAACTTGACGAAATTACGTTATTCATTGTGTCAACACCTTTGAAATTTACCAGTTAATCTCTGCTGGTAAGTAAGTCTGTATTTTACATTATCATCTTCTAAAGAAATAGTCTCAGGAGAAGAGAGAGAGAGAGAGAGAGAGAGAGATCCCTACCGTCCAATTAAGAATTCTATCTTCAGGGCATTAATTAGAGAGCTAGCTTGATCGTGTCAAGTAATTTATTGACTGAAGAAACATGCTGTCTTGGCAACTTTAGTAAGCATTGATTATTCATTATATGGCCTCACTAATTATATGACTAAAATGCTTTTCTTGTAACCATGATTAGTTATTTTTCCAAGCAAATAACACCAGCAAGAATGCTGTTTCATGGTTTTCTTAGTCATCGTTTCTCTTTTTAAATATATAAAATTCATGGCGTTTTGCAGTCGATTGATGAAATACATTTGACAACGACGGGCATGAAGTGAAGTATAGAAGCTTGAAAGAAACTCATCCACTGTTTAATCAGACAGATAAATAGTATTAAATTCAAGCATAACATTGTCGAGTGCCGAGGGATAGATTTTGTATTAGTTTATAGGCAAAAATAACAGTTTTTCAACCCTTTTCCTCAAGAAAGCTATGAAATGAAGTGTTGTTGTGGACAAAGAAGCTTGCACTTCAAAGTTCAACCTACTCTATACTTTAACATAACCTTTGCACGTTAATCTTCAATGACTTGACTATTTTGATTTTACGGGTTGCATTCATGGAACCGGTTTGGCATGGAGCAATCACACACACGGTATCGTACTTTTTTAAAATTCATTCTAGATTGAAATGTGGATGTCTTCTTCAACGTATATGTCTTATAAAAATAAAATAAAATTTTTAAAATTTTTAAAAATAATAACTTATAAAATAAAATGATTGAATGGACGTATCATAAAGTGTTGAGCTCAGTTGTTGATAAATTATTGTATTTTTTTTATGATTTTTACTCTGCATGAGTATCTTCATAAAAAACTCTATTGAACTTGACTTATACACAAGTCATAATTTGTAAAAAAAAAATATTATCGGTCAAATATATTTATAAATAAAAATAAATTAATTAAAAATATATATGATGAAAATAAATCTCCTCTTTGCATGTCAAATGAATAGAATAGAACCATTAATGTATGTGATAACCGAACCATGAATTTGTTGGCTTAAATTTCTTGCATCAGACTATTAGTGCTGTGCGAAACATTCAAAAGTCACGTGCTGAATATATTTCGTTCATATATTTTCTGGGTTGTATAGTGACCTAAAATTCTGTCGATATAAGTATCACATCACTGTATAGTTTGCCTATATAAATTCCATTGTAATTTAATCAGTAATGATGTTTATAATAACTTAAACGTCATCAAATAATTTGAATTTTTTTATTTTGTTTTAATCTTCCCAGGATTCCCTTGATGTATTTATATTGGTAGATGTCAATGGAATTAGCTATGAAAGATAATCAGTGAGTTAAAAATTACTATAAAATATCAATGGAAAAAATCCGCAAGTTTTTTAATTGTATTTATCGATTTTTTAGGAGATTTTTAATTTTAAAAAAATACAATAAAAAATAAATGCTCAATATAGAATGATGGGATGTAATTTCTGGGATGAGGAAACGATCCGGAAAAGTAATGCTTGAATTGAGAAAGAAATATTACTTTAACTTTAAAACTTTTCTCCTCTTGACCTTTCTTTTTCCCACCCTTCATTACAATGTTAAAATTTAATCTCTAAATGATGGTTAAATGTTCTATATATAGTAACTATTCTTTCTCTTATTGTTAGATGATAACACATGAACGTTTTGCCCGTTTAAGCTAAAATCAGAACACAACTTTGATGTAATTATTTATTATTTAATTATATATGAATTATCTATATACCTGTATTAAATTCCTCGTTTTGCAATACTTTATGGTGAGATTTTTTTAAAATAATTTTAAATTTCAACCCAGACACACTAGTATTTTAACTATACTATATTATACCTGCTAGTCATCTCTGGTGGGTAATAGTTAATTAAAACTGTAATCATCAACATCAAGCAGACAACAAGTATGTATGCGTCACATGTCTTGGAGGTATTTTTGACGTGGAAATATAATTTTTATGCGGAATCTTATATTTCATCATTCACTTGGGCGATTTAAGACATGAGGACACAGCAAATATGGACCGTCAACATGAAAACGCTTAATTAATAATAATTTTATTGTTATTTGGTACATATCCAATAGTAATTCGAAGTTTACTTTGGATTCCTTGAAGTCCCATTAAAAGTCACTTTTTTTTTTGTTGGTGTGATTAACAATCATTTTAATTTACTGTGATTAAGTGTTTAGAGTGTGTTTATTTTTGTAATTAATTTTTTTATTTCAAATTAATTTTTATGTTTTTTTATATTTTAACATGTTAATATTAAAAATATTATTTTAGTATAATTAAAAAAATTTTAAAAATAATTTCAATTACAATTACAAACTAACTTAACACGAAGGACTGCGATAAATTACTGATTGATGCAAAAAATATTATTTTAGTATAATTAAAAAAAATTTAAAAAATAATTTCAATTACAGTTACAAACTAACTTAACACGAAGGATTGCGATAAATTACTGGTTAATGCGAATTAATGGATTACGTTGTCCCGCTACCGGGCGAGAAATTATTTTGCCCGTTGAGTCTACTGATTACGTGTAAGCAAAGGGGTTTGATTTTTCCTTCTACGCAGATATTGGGAAACAATATTTTATATTAGTGAAAAAATAGAATTGTTGTTGATATTGAATATTTTATAATATAAAAAATATTCAAAAAAGCTGGTTTAATTTTGTGAAAAGGGAATAATAATTAAAAAAATGGTTGTTTTCAAACAACCAAGCAAATTACATTTATAGGGTTGCGTAATTAATAATTGATATTATAATATCGTTATTTGTCCAAGAAAACACAACGAGATTTTCAAAAATCAAAACTTCTAGATGAGGAAATATAAATAAATCAAATCCAGAATCTGTGGGCCAATCACTGAGACTTCCCTCCTTTCTTGTGCAATGAGCCTGGTATGGTGGTGCGATTTCATTTTCAGATAGAGCCTCGGGCCCGTTTATTGGCCCATATTGTAATTTGGAATGGTGATTGCTCTATTTTGTTTTTCAAAATGGGCCCATCTACTCTAGTTCGAGAAATAAAAACATATGGTTTAAGCATGTAGACATGATACCATGCCCTAAAAATAACGATCTTGAATTATAGAAAAAAGGAATTATTTCTTTTTAAATCTCAAAATTATAGCCTTAATTCAAATGTCCTGAATATAAATATAAATAATAACTAATCTTTTTATGGAAGATAACTCATATGGTTATTTAAATAGAAGACTTAATAAATCTAGGAATAATAATATAAACCAGATAAATCCTTAAAACTTCATTAATAAAGAAATCCTAAAATAACTATAAAAATAAAGAGGAGTATAACGTCCTTTAAAGGCTGGATTTGGATATATTATCGAACTAGGATGACGCTCCCTTAATAATACAACAAGGAATATAACGTCTTTTAAAGATGCTGATAAATTTTAACATGATTAAATAGTGAAATTATCTTTTTTATCAAAAAGGTTTTTGGGTATTTCTATATTTTTTAAAAAACTTTGATTTTTCATCGAGCGTGTAGCATCGAAACGCCATGTTTTTATACCTGCTATTTTTAGTTTTTTTTTTTATTATTATTATCATTATTGCTTGGCGCAAATGAAAAGGAAGACAAAGAGTAGCTACTCATGAGAAAAACTCCTGTCATGTCCAGTTCAAGCACAAGATGAACAGTCGGAGGGGGATGATTCTTGATCTGGAGCTTGAGATCACCAGCAGAATCTAATCGTGCTAGGAATTGCTACTTTTAGTTACAGAATAGAGTTTCAGCAAGTATTCTTTCGATTGTGTATTTATAATACCAATAGTAGGGATGTTCAATTATAACAAGTGTGAAAAATGTTTCAAGAGTGAAAATCTAAGGTCTCTTTCATCATGAGATCTCAGGATCCCAAGCAAAATTACGTTTGAGAAACCATCTAGATAATAGCTAAGTGGTAAAAACTTGGAATCAAGAGGTTTGCTCTTTCTGTGGTCTCGTTCGAGTTCTTGGTTGCTCATATGATGGCCACTAGAGACTTACATGGTCGTTAACTTCAGGGCCCGTGAGATTAGTCATGGTGCGCACAAGCTGACCCGAACACCCACATTAATCTAAAAAAAAAAAAAATAAC